GCCAAAAGGCTGTACATTAATTATAATCCGGGTGACTATACGCTCGGGGGTGCCAAACTATTAAGCCTGAGTCGCCAGTTAGGCGAAGGTGCACGTGGCGATAGAAGCAACCAGGCTGTTTATATCAACTTCAATCAGCTTTGCGGCCGCAATCACAGCAACTTCATCAAGCTGATGTCTCATTATGGCGCGCACCCGATGGCACTTGCCTATTACCGGGCATTGTTTCATGGCAAACGAGTGAATATTGAGGATCCCGCTTCCTTTACTCAAAGCCCTTACCGGAAGCTGGGTTACAGCCTCATCTGCCCTTTCCCGCTAAAAACAGCGGGTACAAAAAACAAGGAGCAGACCGGCAGCGGAACCTCTGCCGCCAACGCATCAACCACGCTTCATTAGACGCAATACTTTCTCCACATCTTCCGGCGCATCAATACAATGGCTATCAAATTCGGTGATGGCACAACGGATCCGGTAACCGGCTTCCAGCCAGCGCAATTGCTCCAACGACTCTGCTTTTTCCAGGGAGGAGACGGGCAGCTTTGTCACCGCTTCCAGCACATCTTTACGATAAGCATACAAGCCCACATGCCGGAAGTAAGGATGATGCTTGTGCCATTCTGATTCTGGAACTCCTTTTATAAACGGGATCACGGTACGGCTGAAATACAGACCTTCCATCTGTTTGTTCAGCACTACTTTCACTTCGCCCTTATCAAACAAGACGTCCGGGTTATCTACCGGGATGATCAGGGTAGCCAGTTCGGTAGTACCATCTTTTAAAGTGGCTGCCAGCAGGTCTATCTGCGACGGATCGATGAACGGCTCGTCTCCCTGGATATTGATCACGTAATCATAGTTGCCGCCCATTTGCTGACAGGCATCCCAGCACCTGTCGGTCCCACTTTCATGGTCCGGGCCCGTTAAAACTACGTTTCCTTTAAAAGAACGGATATGATTGGCAATGCGCACATCATCAGTAGCCACCACAATAGTATCCAGTGATGCCGATTTAGCAGCCTGTTCATAGACCCGCTGAATCATCGTTTTGCCCTCTATCTCAATGAGTGGCTTGCCCGGAAAACGGGTGGAGGCGTATCGTGCCGGGATTATACCGAGTATCATAAGAATGGTTTTTAAAATTTACAATCGGGTATTGTGGTTAGGATGGCCGTCGGGCGACGGCACCCCGCACAAGTTTAGTCTGAGGACTAAGCTTAACC